GGAGAGGAAGTCACATACACATCTTCTTTACTCAGCATACTGATTCAAATGCTAATCTTCCAAAAACACCCCCAACAGACACTCCTCGAAGTAATCTTACTGGTGATCTGGGCATCCCTTAGCCCAGCCAAATTGATACATAAAAGTAACCATCACCTGGGTCGAGAGCATAGAGCCTTAAAAATCATTAAGATTAAGAGAAATAACGGTATTTTTTAGTTTTAAAAAGAGCAGTGAGTGATTTGTTTGCTAATGCTAATTGTAGAAAAATGCCCCTGGGGAATCGTGGGGTGAGGGTGGGGGAGTGGATACAGAGGAAACAGCAGTAGGATGGAGGGAAGATAGGATGGCCATTTAACCTGTTTTCTATTAAGTGAATTGACAACTCTGTTTGTTGAGCCACATCTGACTTCAGATCCTAACCCACCACTTATTAGCAGTGTGACCTTGGGCTAATTATTTAATCTCTCTAAGTTTTGTCAATCGTTAAATGGAAGAAATACTAGGTTTATTTTCAAAGAATCAACTTTTGTTTTCATTGATTTTCACTATGGTTGTTCTATTCTCTATTTAATTTATTTTTACTCTAATCTGTATTGTTTCCTTCTATGTGCTTTGGGTTTAGGGTGCTCTTCTTTCTCTAGTAGTTATGTTATTGACTTGATGTCTTTTTCCCTTTTTAATATAGGTGTTTACAGCTATAAAGTTCCCTCTAATCATTGTTTTCACTGTATCTCATAAGCTTTGGTATGCTGTGTTTTCATTTTCATTCCTCTCCAACTATTTACTAATTTCTCTTGTGAATTTCTTTGACTTACATCTTATTTACAAGTTCCCCAAATTTCCTTCTCTTCATCGATTTCAATTTCATTACACAATGGGTCCAAAAAGACATTTTGTCAATTTAGTCTTTTAACATTTGTTTTATGTGAAAATTTGCTTTAAACTTGCTTTATAGCCTAGGATATTGTCAGTGTTGCAGAGTGTTCCATGTGCACTTGAGAAAAGTGTGTATTATGATCCATTGAATGTTTTATAGATGTTTTTAAGTCCGGTTGGTTTATAGTGTTGTTCTGTTTCCCTGTTGATCTTCTGTTTCGTTGTTCTATCTATTATTGAAAGTGTCATATTGAAGTCTCCAACTCTTATTGTTGAATTGTCGATTTCTTCCTTCATATCTGACAGTTTATGTTTGTTTCTGACACATAAGTCTGCTCAGTCAGTTTAGTGGCCGGGTAATGATTAGACAGATACCCATCAGCTATGTGGCACCTGTTTAATCCCCTTTGTGGTACCACAAAAATGAAGAAATTTTTCTTAAATACTGGGACCCAATAAGTCTCCTAGCTTTGCCACGGGGCCCTGCCTTCAACATCCAGCCAGACAATTGACAACCCCTCTTTATCCTTCACTTCCTGTTGGTACACAGCTTCAAGGTTAGGTTGCATAGAAGTGAGAACTTAGGGCCTTCTCTGGTTTTTCCTGAGCACTCTCATAGCCCTGGACACTTGCCCAGCCCTATGTAGGCACATGGTCTGCTAGTTTCCCAGGAATATGTTTCAAAGTCCCTCATTCCCCAGCGTTTTCTTTTAAGCTTTTTGGTAAGTCTATTGTTTGCCAACTGGTATTCATGGTCTCGGGTAGTTGTGCAATTAAACAATTGCCTCTGTCTGTTCTCAACAGAAGTCCCCAGGGAAAGGGCTTTTCACACCGGGCTAGCTCCCACTCAAGTCAAAGAAAGACCGCATTGCCATTGCAATCTTCTAGAGAACTACCAGACAGGTCAAACCATGATAGTTCTCTGAAAACCAGGCTTTGGAGACGCTCTAGTCCTATTTTGCCTCCTCCAGTTTCACTGTGATTATGGGCTATTCATGTTCAAGACTACCATAGGGCTGAAGGGGGTGGGTGACGGGAACAGGGCAAATTGAGCTCACTCTTCTTAGTGAGATTCGACTGTCTTTCTTCAGGAAACCCTCACTGGATTGTCACAAGTCTTTGACTAATTTCCAGATTTCTAAAATGTTATGCCCAGATTTCAAGATCCCCAAGAAAACCACACCAGGGAGCCAGTCCGATGCAAAAGCAGAAGGTCCTTTATTGAGCTAGCTAACTCGACCCCGCCCTCCGGTCGACTCAGCGATCGGAAGCAGAGTGCCACCCGTGAGAAAAATCAGGGTTTTAATAGGGGGGTGGAGTGAGGGGAGGGGAGCTGACTGTGGGCCCCGCCGATTGGCCAGGCGCAAGTCGGGTCTTGTTACACAGGATGTGGTCATCTCTATGGCGCGCATGTTCCTTGATTGTCATTGGTTAGTTTAAAGAAATCCCGGCTTCCGGGAAGAAGGTACTTTCCTGAGCACATGGCGACTGCCCCAACATGGAGGATCCGGGGTAAGACGGAGGGCATGGCCCTCACCCTTTCATAAAACAATTTCATTCTGGCCATTTTTGTCCGTTTCCACATTGCTTTATGGAAGAGAGAATTTTCAGAGATTCTTACTCTGCCATTTTTACTGGCATTACTCAGTGGGGTCTTTCTTGATGGTAAAAGAATGAGTGTTTTGAAAAAGTAGTGCTGAAGTTATACACTCTCAGAAGTGGAATGGTTTTGAGTAATGACAAGGTCCAGGGTAAAATCATGGGAATGGATAGCTGGAGTGATGTATAAGTGAATGACACTGCTGTTGGGGAGGGGAGCAGGCAATGGATTTTGAGTCGGGCTGATGAGAGGATATCATGGCTTAAATGTCTGTCGTCCCCGCCCCCCCCTCCCGCCCCCAAATTCATGTGTTGAAATCCTAATCCCCAAGATGATGGTATTTAGGAGGTGATTAGGTCATGAAGGTGGTGTTCTCATGACTGGGATTAGTGCCCTTATAAAAGAGGCTCCAGAGAGCTCCCTAGCCCCTTCCACCATGTGTGGTTACAATGACAAATGGCCTTCTAGAAAGGAGAACTTCACCAGGCACCAAATCTACTGGTGTGTTGATCTTAGCCTTCCCAGCCTCAGAACTGTGAGGAATAAATTTGTTGTTTATCAGACACCTAGTTGGTGGTGTTTTGTTTTATCAGCCCAAACAGATGAAGACAGAAGGTGTCCAGATGGATTTTTAAATCTTCCGAGATGATGATACTACTTGGGGGAGAAAGAGGTGGCCCAAGTACCTAAATCCCCATGACTGTGGAGGAGTTCCTTGAGATTGATGGATGGTAGCAGAGTCAGTGTTTGAAATGTGAGAAATAAAAGTTATTCCATGCAGAGCCTATATGATAAAAGCAATGATAGAGATATAATGAAGGCATAAGATGACCAAGAGATTTTAAATGAGAATTATGTTAAGTATTGGGAATTTATACCAAGATCAAAGAGGAGAGCTATTACCATTATAACGAATGTGTTCTGTCAGTAGGAACATTTGTGAATGCCAGAAAATTATTTTCACTTATCTTTTCATGCATCAGAAGGTGAAGGCAAGAATTACAGCCCTTGCTAGTTGCATGTCCTCATGGAGTTGCCCTCTCTGTTCATTCTTCAAGGGAATCCCCTCTCCTTGAACTTTAAATCACCTGGTTTTCTCTCTAGCTTTATATTACAGTAGAGCCCACAAGTCTTTGCTGTTGGAGAGGACCCACCATGAGGACCACGTTGACCTGCATGTCTTTAGATCAATGTTTGTCAAGGCCTTGAGAATTCCGGGAGCCCCACAGCATCTTTGTCTTTGGAAAGTCACTGCTTCCTGCAGGCTTTGAGGGCCCTGATTCAGCCATCTTTGGTCTTACACAGAATCATGAATATTCATCCTATAAAATTATTTTAATTGATCTTTTCATAATAGCTAAGCTATAGTGGCCTATAACACTAATGCGCAAAAGCATTCTACACTGAAATGTTCTAACTGGACCATTACCAAGTTACATCTGACTACAAGCCAAGAAAAAAAGGCACTCTCTACATAAGGGCGTAATGCCACCATTACTCTGGACAAGGAAAAGCACTTCAAGTTCCTCTCTCATGACTGAAAGTGAGACTCAGGAGACCTGGGGTAAATTCAGCTGCTTTTTCTTTAATGTTCTAATCACATGTTTATACCACACTTAAACAGAATTAGGAAAATGAAGCAGGGAAACTGCTTCCCATCCAGCTGCTGTCACTCCCTCTCCTGCTGGCCGTTATTAACCCCCGGAAAGAGCGGTCTGCAGTTGCCTCCTGGTACTCATTCCCATACAGTCTTCAACATGCAGCATGCAGCCTGGCTTCCCCCTCCACCACTCTAAAAAGATAAGCAGTGATGGATGCTCTCCTGTCAAGTATGACGTCGGTGTTCATCATTTCCTACTTGTTGGAGAGTGCCGAATGAATGAATTGATCGTCACACCCCAAACCTTCTCCTCCTTCTGTCACCTTCTGGGATATCCTCTCTCCTATTACCCTCCTACAGCTCTGCCTCCCTCTAACCTCCCTGGTTCCTCCTCTTCCTTCTAGTATTATCTATAATAATAAAAGCACAATATGCTAATTAGACCGGACAGTCGAACAACCTTCCAGACATCATTCTGGATGAAGCTGCAGCGGCGGGGGCTGAGGCAGAGGTGATTAGGGGTGATGAGACAGGCAGGAGAGTGGTTAGGGGCGATGACACAGGCAGGCAGAGGGGTTAGGGGCGACCAGGCAGGCAGGCGAGTGTTTAGGGGCAATGAGGGAGGCAGGTGAGCGGTTAGGAGCCAGCGGACCCCAAATTGTGAGAGGGATGTCCAACTGCCAGTTTAGACCCAATCCCTGCAGGCTGGTGCAGGCTGGGCTGAGAGACTACCCCCCCCCCCCCATTTCATGCACCGGGCCTCTAGTCTATAATAATAAAAGTGTAATATGCTAATTAGACCAGAGGTCCTTCTGGACGACCTTCTGGATGAAGCCAGAGCTGTGAGGGAAGCCTGGGTCCTG